TAAAAAATTGTTTTTTTTGTTTTTTTTTTTTGTAAAATGTTAATAGTTTAGTAAGAAATTAAAGTATTTTCCAAATTCGATCAAAATATGTTCATAAACAAACAAACTACAACAGTTGACTTATTCTCCATAAGAATAACATAGAAATTTTAAATTTACAATTTTTTTTTATTTCCTCCGTAACCATTAGGCACAATAACGCTTCAATATACTAAATTATTTGTTTTTTTAAGCTCTACTAAATTGTTTGGAAAGAAATTGCATTTTAGCGAATTTCCCATATAGGGAATAAGCTATTACTGTAGTACTCATGGTAAGACCTGGACCCGGGACCGATTTTTTTTTTCGTTTTGAGGTCCCTAGAGGCCAAAAATACCATCCGTTCAAATTCATATATATATATATATATATTTATATATATATTTATATATATATTTATATATATATGTGTCCGTTAGCGCGATAACTCGAGCAAAAATCATCCGATTTTGATGAAATTTGGTACAAACGTGTAAACCTACGTTTATTCGATCGAGTTCGCGAACCAGCATGATCGGACCATGGGAACGGGGGTTTATGGGGCCTTTTATGGGGTAAAAATGGGTTTTTCCCATTTTTGACCCAAAAAACATAACATTTTGCAATTTCTTTCCAAACAATTTTGTAGAACTTATAAAAACAAATAATTTAGTATATTGAAGCGTTATAATGCGCCTAATGGTTACGGAGAAAATTCCAAAAAAATTTAAATTTAAAATTCTCATGTTATTCTTATGGAGAATAAGTAAACTGTTGTAGTTTGCTTGTTTATTAACATATTTTGCCCAAATTTGGAAAATGTTTTTATTTCTTACAAACTATTAACATTTTACAAAAAAAAAACACTTTTACCCTCCCTGTTGCAGCAAACCTAAGTATGTGTTAAGCTGATTCTATTTAAATAGGGAATAAATGTGATATTTTTAAGGAGATATTTTAGTGTAAATCCAATCAGGCAAATGGAAATTCGCTTAGTCTGCAGGTTTGCTGCGGCGGGGGTATTTTTTTTGTTTTTAGGGTAAAAATAGGAAAACCCCATTTTTAACCCATAAAACCCCCCATAAGCCCCCGTTCCCATGGTCCGATCATACTGGTTCGCGAACTCGTTCGAATAAATGTAGGTTTACACGTTTATACCAAATTTCATCAAAATCGGATCATTTTTGCTCGAGTTATCGTGCTAACGGACACATATATCTATTTATATATGTATATATATATGAATATATATGAATTTGAACGGGTGGTGTTTTTGGCCTCTAGGGACCTCAAAACGAAAAAGTAAATCGGTCCCGGGTCCAGGTCTTACCATGAGTACTATGGTAATAGCCTATATGGGAAATTTCTCTAAAAGCAGTTGACAAATCCAAATTGGTGCACGATCATCAAATTATACACTTGAAAAGGTCCAATGTCCTTTGGGTTCAGTTGTCTCTGTGGATACGTTCTCACCTCTGATTCTGCTTCATGATCATCAGAACCTAACAAAGAAAACAGAGAATTAAGTCTAGAAGAGATGTATATAACAGATGATCATGAAGCAGAACCAGAGGTGAGAAGGTATCCACAGGCACAACGGAAACCAAAGGACATTGGATCATTTCAAGCGTATAATGTGCGTACACCAATTCTTCATTTGGATTTGTCAACTGCTTTTTAGGCATATCCATTTGTATTCGACTTTGTATTTCAAACGGAACTAATTTCGGCTCCTATTCCTATCCATCATCAAGCGGTACAAGAACGTCTTCTTTTTTGTCCTAGGAAGCTAGGCACGAACCCGTGATTGTTTTTCACACTACTTCAGGTTATAGTTGCGGCAATGTCACTTAGATAAAATCCAAATTATGATTTGGCGGGATTTCAACCCGGGAACTTAGGGACTGCACTCTAACTACTAGACCAGTTCGCTCCCCCACCATTTTTAATATGATGAGCTTCATAGTTGACACAAAAATAAATAAACATTTAAACACGACACATACACGGATATGAAACATTTATGGTAACTGATCAGTCATGACAGCAGACGACGCTAACTCGGCGGTAGAGCCCAAACTGCGGGTGGTCACTGGTCAGTGCAGTAGGTGCACGTCCGTTACCTTGTCACCCCAAGTCCTGTCTTGGACGAGAAAAAGATTTGGTCATTTAACACATTTTGGTGATCGGATTTTACTATCTAAATCCCTCTGTACACTCTCAAAGACCCTGATGGCAGTGTCTTTTGGTTCTAGTTTATTTGTATGCTTGAAGATGAGTTTATCCATTATAATACTTGGATAATCATTTGCTACAGCTAGCCTATATATTTTATTGTATTTAGTTTTGCATTGTAAGCCTGTTCATTCATTGATTTATGTTAATTTGATTTTGACGTTTACACTTACACTGAAAAAGTTATTTGTGCAACTATTGAGCAAAGTGACCTAGAACGACCTCAAGAGAGTGACCTCGCCTACGGCTCGTGAGTAAGGATTTCTCTCGAGTGAGGCGATTGCACTTGGCACTCGAGTTGCACATTATATTTTTCTTAAAGTTACCATAAAACAATAAAATTGGTAAATAAACTATTGTAGTAACTGTAGGTTCCTTCACGTTGCAAATCCGGAGTGAGACAAAGTAATTAGAGTGAGACAATGTTAACATTGTCTCACTGATTAGCGAATTGGCCACTTTCGTGCCTTCACGTTGCAAATCTGGAGTGAGACAAAGTAATTAGAGTGAGACAATATTAAAATTGTCTCACTGATGAGCGAATTGGCCACTTTGCTTTCTCAAATCAGTAAGAGAACATGTACATTGTTAGGTAACTGTAGGAAAAGAGATTTTTCATCACACCGTACCAAAAGTAGTTATTTTCTATAACAGCTGATATCAACGAAAGTAGCCCTAATTTAGAACGAGGGAAACGATCAGCTGATTTTCCCTCACTCTAAATTTACTATCCTCGCTCTCGATTAGTTCTTCATCTATTCACTAAGCGCTAGTGAATGAATTGATTTTTTGTATTGAAAAGTTTATGGTGTTGGTCTTGTATTATGGTTTATTTTAGTGATTTATATCGGCTGTTTTCATTGTTGCACAATCTAAATGAACACAGAAACAGGTATTAGTTTGTTTCTTTAAGTTTTAGCATAGTGTACGTATTTTAAATTGCTCATAATACGCCTAACATTCCTGATGATTTGATGAAAAAAGATTCAGGGATAACTAAAAATCCTTCCAACAGAGAAATCACGGGAAAGATGGATAAGAATAGTACATCTTGAGAAGAATACAAAGAAGAATGGAACCTGAGCGTGCACCGGAAAATGCCACTTTTGGTCCTAGTAATTAAATATACCATTTCTTGCTTTTATTTTGGTAAATGAACTGCGTTATTGAATTTTTTACAGTGTTTCTCCTTAAGATTTTAATTGTACAAAAACAGTCTAGAGTTAACGTAAACTAACAACTCGGTCGATTACAACTTAACTAAACTTTACCTTACTTCCAACCTACATTCAATTGACTTATTACAGTCACGATTTCACATAAAGCAGGACCAACCATCCTTACATGCCTTTTCTAATATCAAAAGGAGTTTGGTAAATTAAAAACATGTTTGAATTTTTTGCATTGTTTCTTCTCAGGATATTAATTGTACAAAAAAATGGAGGTAACATTTAAACTAACAACTCGGTTCATTATAACCTAAACTAAAGTTGTCCTTACTTCGAACCCGTCCTTACATATAATTTCTGACATCAAAATGAGTTTGATAAGGTTCTAGAGGTGTGATTCAGTTAGGTTGTGTTATAACTAAATAGTATAATTATATAATTAATTATATTTTTGTATTTTTTTGGGCAAAAGTGTGTATTATTTTAAAATTACTGATGCAACTCATTACTCATACAATCTAGCAATGTAAATTAACATTCAACCTTTAAATTCAAATTTGGTTTCCTTCTTTTATACTGAGCATCGGAGAGCGTTTAGGTCAATGCTGCGTGCTTGCTTGTAGTGGTGCGGGGACGCGTGGGAACGGCCTTCCCACTCTGCCTTTTCCAAAGAACCTATATATTGGTACTAAAGCAACCAGAATTTTCTGTGAAAATGGCGGGCTTTCCCACATTAGAAAATTTACGACTAGACCATTGCTTAAACTGGTCCTGTATGTTTTGGATTACATTTCTTTCAGCTGCCCATGCTTACTTTTAATAGTCCTAATTAGTGCAGATAACAAGTCCCTCTCTGTTAAACACATTTACTTTACCTATTATGTTACAGTTGGATTATCAAATTTAATCATTCCCTGTTGAGGAATATTTCCTCAAACTATGGGATCAAGTATTGGTTGTTCCTATATTGGGAAGTAAGATGATGGGTATGCAATCCTAGAAATAAGAGACACTGATATAACAAAAATCTCTAATTATAACAAAAATCAGTAACCTCCCTAGTTAAGAGCCAGCTGGTCTAGTGGTAGAACATGGGACTTCGATTGGAGGTCCCGTGCTCATATCTCGCCGACTGCCCTGCTCACTTTCCTTACGTCTGCTCCCGGAGAACAATGAATTTCAGGGCAGTTGTGAGGGCAGTTGGCAAGGCAATTAGCCTGAAGTATTTACACGAAGCTAATAATTGCATGCCAATCAGTTTGTCTTTTGACAATTAATTTTCTCACCTACTGGCAACGTGTAAACCTGGTAAGGGTTTTGTAGGGCACATCATTTTGTTAAAATCATTATGAAATCTGTATAACTTTCCAAATTGTTTTACCTTAAATGAGTCTAAAAAAATCAGACTTCTAGCTAGACTAGAAGTTGGAGATTAGTGATGGATAAGTAAGAGAGTCAGAATCAGGAAGTGTGTAAGGCTTTGACATTCATATCTTTAGATTAAACACATATTGTATGTTTAAAAACATAGAGTATATGCATTTTCATGTGAAGAGGGTCAATAATTTACTTAAGTAATGAGACATGCAAAAGTCATTCCATTTTTGATAATTTTCCAATTTCATTCCCACTATGGTGGTTAACAATGCCATATCCATGTACGAGTATCATCATCACTTTCGTCCTAGTGGAATTTCATCTTGCTTATTTCTGGTATTTGAAACTGCCGGACGCCTTCTATTCCTAGTTTCACGATTGTTATCATCAGTTCAAATACCCTATACACCCAGCGGAACGGAGCACTTATGATTCCCCATATTAGTTCCCAGGTTTTTTTGAGCGATGCAACAACAAATCCATCAGCCGCGATCATTTTCTGTACTTCTTGGTCAGATGCGATGGCAAAAGGCGAGTGTTTAGCAGGCTTAGCTCCTGAAAAAAAAAACAATGAAACATTTTGGAGACTTAGTTTGTATCAGCTTTTGCATATCGTGAAATTAATTAGTGATGGATTCCTTTATTTAGACTATTGAGGATCCGGTTGAGTTTTTCCCGAAAGATATAAAAGTTAATTTCCAAATCACTATGACAAGTTTTAAATTTACTATATTTATAATGGTTTAAGTACCTGCGTTCAGTAATCTAAATTACTACTTAATTGTGGCAACTATAGTTTTGGTTCTGCTAAGGAACCATCTTTAGGCCGTACAAGGTGTCGTCCACAAGTCGTCTACGTAGTTCGAACTACAACTTCCCGTCTCCTGTCCCCGAGTAATAGGTTGTTTTTAAATGTTAAATGTTCATATATCAATGAGTGTGTTTGTGTATGTTGTATGTACTTTTATATTCAATGACGACCTTCACATACAGTGGAGGTAAATAACCTGGACGACACCTTGTACGGCCTGAAGATGGTTCCATAGCAGAACCGAAACTATAGTTGCCACAATCAGCAATTTGGGTTACTGAATGCAGGTACTGTACTTAAACCAATTATAGATATTCAAACATAATCCGGAGGCTAACAACTCTTGAAAATTACTATACATTTAACGTTATTTTTGAACCAATTAAATCTTTGGCTAAATTAGTGGAATATATTACGCAACACAATTATTTGCAAACAACATGAAGTGTATGTTACGTTTTTGAAAATTCTTTGACAGTAAGTCTTGAGTTTCTTTGTTAAATTATGAAAAAGAACAGCGAATAGATTCTGGATTTAGATGTGGTTTTTTACTGTTTAGTTCAATGATAATCTCTAACAAAAGATAGACGTTAAAGAGTGACACGAAGAGGCTTTGGGCCATTCCCAAACAATAGTTTAAAAAAATACACATAGAAAACACAAAATGTTTTCAATGTTTCAGTGCATTTTGTTTATTTGAGACAATTGGTTTGCTGTACGGAAACGAATTCTGGTGATTGTATGGAAAATCCTCGGAGGTTGGAGCTTTAGATTCACACTACGTTGCTGTCTGTCAGTGTAATACAGCTTATATACACAATGACTTAGTTTTATCATTGATTATGTTCAGTTTTGTTCTTCATACATACCAGCATGGTTTCCAGGATCAGCCACAGAAACCTGCAAATTTTTTTTATAAGTAGAATGAATAAATTAAGCCTTGAACAACCTTAAACAAGCTTTGAAATTACCTTTGACTATCAATAGTCAATGATATTACTAACTTAATTCCTGGGCAACGTATATCTAAAGGAGATATTTGGCCGCACCAACAAAATCTCCTCCATCTCTCTCCATCTTCCTACCCACTCTAATCCACCCTTCCTTTTTTCAACATTTGTAATGGCCTTCCTCTTGGTTGTCTTCCTTCAGAATTCCTCATTACTACTAGTTTCAAACGATTACATTCCCCTCTTCTCAAAACGTGTCCAGCCATCATCATTCTGCATTTATACTTACAAACTACATCTGAATCTATATACAATTCTCATCCCTAATGTCAATGTGTCTTTTCCTTCACTATCATTTGTTATAAATTAGCCCACAAAATATTTAAAAAATTAACTTTAAAAATATGGTCAGTTGGTGTGAACAGAGTTGAACAGTAGCATGAGCATCGATTTACAAATTCCTTTCCCCGCTGATGTGAGCTAGGCGATGACCGGTAGGGCTAACTTGCAAGAAACATCGTTAACCTATAAGCCACACACCCTATCGGTAATCAGCCAAAGAGAAGGGCTAATGAAGAAGATGGAGGGGTCAGGAGTCTCGGAGCTGGAGGACCTGGAGAGGACAATCGGGGGGATCACCACGGGCCACCGGACCAAGAAGATCAGGAGTTTGGGAGTGCGTGTATCGGTGCGTGTGCTTCTGGGACAATAAAATGTAAAAAGAATAAAATACATATCTAAATTTTTGTAAAACAAACAAGTAATATAATTGGTCAATAACTATTCATTTAAATTTTCAATTGATTTTCTTTTCTTGTAAATTTAACGTTGTAAATTAATTTATCTTATTATTGTTGATTTTTGCCTTTTCAAAGTTATAATCTATAAGTTATAAATCTTTTGCTGTTGTAACACTTTGTAACTTTTGTAGTTTTTCTAAATTTAATTTTTGTTCATTACACGTTGAGTAACACCCTTAAGCAGTCTTATGTCTCATTAACCTAACACCTCTTCACTAAGCTAAGCGAGTGTGAAACTTTTAGGAAACTTAAATTTAAAGTGAGGCATGGGACTCGTAATATATATATCTTACTAATATTATAAATGTCAAAGTTTGTGTATTTGTTTGTTTGTATGTTTGTTTGTTTGAAGTTCAATCACGCATTAACTACTGGACCGATTGGGCTGAAATTTGGTATGCTGATAGCTCATATCCCCGATTAACATATAGGCATATTCTTATCTCAAAAATCCTTTCGGGCTCCGCCCCAGTGGCTCTGTAGTTCCACATGTCAACCTTATGAGTATTCATATTTAAAGGGATTTAAAGAATTTAGTCAGTTGTTTCTTCAACTAAAAAAGTTGGTTCTATGATATTCAAAAGTATTAAAAAGTTATAAGATTTACCAACAGGGTGCAGCACTAATTTTTGCATTCATGAAAACAGGTTATTTGAACTAGTAACAACAACAAAATTGTGATACTGATACGCAATGAGAACTGTCAAAGCAGGCTTGTTTATAGTTATGTTTTTTTTTTTATATTGCATGATAATAATGCACACTGATAGTCAACACAACTACAACTTTAAAGTTATGTGAAGAAATAGTTTTAAGAATCGCCAGAAATAATAATAAATAGTTGCTAGGCAGCGGGGACAATAAAACAATTATATTTCAATGCTATGAATAATACTGATTTTGTAAATGCAATACTGAAAAAAATGGTTAGCCTACTGATTGATGGTTTAATATGCATTCATGTTTTAAGAAAGTAAGCGGGCAGCTGATTTTGCGGTCCTAGGGATGTAAAAATCTGCACGGTCCCCAAATTACAATGACAGCTGGCATGGCCAGAAAAACGTAACTTTCAGCCACCAATTAGTGTATGTAAAACTGCTAAAAACAACATAGTGTGTTGAAAACATAATTGTTACCTAATTTTGCCATTATAAATTGGCATTACAGCTGTTTCGGTTTGACGGGATAGTGGTGTGTTGCCACTTTTGTCTCACCGCGGCCTTGTACGTAATAGAGGAGGCTATGATTCTTATCAATGGTTTGGCATATCCATAGTAAGAATGATCACTAACACAATCGGAATAGACGGAATCACTTATTTGTATTATCAAAATGTAAAACAAGTTGGAAGTAGTTTTCGAGTGGTTGTTTTTTTCATGAAAAGTATTATAGTTTTCTTGAATAGTGGTGCAATATGATAAAATACCCCCGCCGCAGCAAACCTGCCGACTAAGCGAATTTCCATTTGTCTGAATTGATTTTCAGTTAAATATATTTTAATAACATTAGGTTTAACGAGTACCTAGGTTTGCTGCTACAAGGAAACTAATAAAGTGTGTTTTTGAGTAAAATATTGATAGCTTAGTACAAAATAAATAAATTTGTCAAGTTTGATCAAAATATATTCATAAACAAGCAAACTACAACATTTGACAATATTCTCCATAAGAATAACATAGGAATTTTAAATTTACAATTTTTTTAATTTTCTCCGTTACTAATAATCGAACAAAAATACTTTTATATACTAAATTATTTGTTTTTTTAAGCTCTTTAAAAAGGTCTAAAGAGAAATTGGGAAATTTTGTGTTTTGAGGGTAAAAAGTGAGAAAAACCAATTTTTACCCCATAAAACCCCCCATAAAGCCCCGTTCCCATGGTCCGATCGTGCTGGTTCGCGAACTCATTCAAGTTTATCCCGCTTTACACCTTTAAACCAAATTTCATCAAAATCGGACAAAAATTACTCAAGTTATCGCTTTCACGGACGTATATATATATAAGTCTATATATATATATATATATATATATATATATATATATATATATATATATATATATATATACATATATAAAAATTTGAACGAATAGTGTTTTTGGCCTCTGGGGACATCAAAATGAAAAAGTAAATCGGTCCCGGGTCTAGGTCTTACCGTGCCACCTACGGTAATAGCTACTTCCCTATAGGGAAATTCGCTAAAACATAGTTCGTCACATGGGCCATCGTTTATTTTAAAGCTATCTTTCATTTTACGACCTTGGCTTCGCCTGTGTCGTGAAACTTGAGCTTAGTTAAAAAAGAGTCACTTTACGCCCTAGTTATGAAAGAATATGAGAGTAGTAGATATGACACAGCTAAGAAAACCCTTAATAGCTAGTATATTTTATCAACTATGTAAATAAGAAATTAACCTGCACAAGGATTGCGGCCAAAACTACCACAAAGGCAGTGGGCAACATGCTGTGCTGCGGACACGGGGGAAGCGTCAATTGAAATGAAAGATTTCTTCACCGTGTGCAGAGTTAAGCGGTGACTGTTATACAATGAGAAACGTCATGCAGCTGTTGGTGATTATTTCAATGCAGGCTACAATTGGTATGAAATGTAATTTTCTATGTTACAAAAATGATAATCCAACCAAGCATAGCACAAAATGCAATGAAATGAAAAAAAAATATTTATGTGTTATTTGATTGTAAGGGTTGGCATTACAAACACACACATTGCACCTACACAAATGAGAACGATATTTTTTATGGTGGCACTGCATGATCGACAATTTTAAATTTAAAAAGTCCTGTAGTCCGGAGTGTGGGAAGCCTTTGTGACAGTTATATTAATGTGTCTGCAATTCTAAAATGCTATAGGAAGGGAAAGAAACAGGTCCACGACATAGGAAGTGGAGAATGAAGTAGTCAAGGCGAGCAGTCCGGAGTGTAGGAACCCTTTGTGACAGTTAGATTAATGTATCTGCAATACTAAAATGCTATGGGAAGGGATGGAAACAGGTCCACGACATAGGAAGTGGAGAAGGAAGTAGTCAAGGCGAGCAGTCCAGAGTGTGGTAACCCGTTGTGACAGGTAGACTAATGTACAATATCTGCAATTCTAAAATGCTTTGGGAAGGGAGGGAAACAGGTCCACAACGTAATAAGTGGTGAAGGAAGTAGCCAAGGCTAGCAGTCCGAAGTGTGGGAAGCCTTTGTTACAGTTAGAATAATGTATCTGCAATTCTAAAAATGCTATGGGAAGGTAGGGAGACAGGTCCATGACGAAGGAAGTGGTGAAGGAAGTAGTCAAGGCGAGCAGTGGGGAGTGTGGGAACCACTGGTGGCAGTTAGATTAATGCGTCTGCAATACTAAAAGGCTATGGGAAGGGAGGAATCCAGGTGCACGTCGACGGAAGTAGGGAAAGAAGTGGTAAAGGCGAGAAGTTCTGAGTTTGGGAACGGTTTGTGGCAGTTAGATTAATGTACATGAAATACTAAAATGCTGAGGAAAGGGAGGAAAACAAGTCCACGACGTAGGTAGTGGCGAAGGAAGTGCGCAACAACAAGCAGTGCCGAGTGTGGGAACCGTTTATGGCATCTAGGTTCATTAGTTAGATAAACATATATTGGTTTTTTAATTATTTAGTATGTGTTCTATAACATCATTATAAGCCATTCGATATTTTTAAGAAGACTCCTTTACACCATGCTGTGGCAATTAGGTTAAGTTAGATTAGGTCAGTTTGGCTTAGATTTGTTTATGATAGGCCTCATAACAAATAAGGAAATAGGCCTCATTTAATCAAAAGATGTTTTGTGCAGGAACGATGGATTTACCTCCTATCGATAGCAAATGTCGGAAATTCCTTACGTATATTACCAATGGCTTTGGTTAATTAATGGTCGAGAAGTTAGGATTGTTGTTGACTGAGATTTGGTTGATTTGCCCATACAAATAACATTGTGTTCACCAGTAACACCGGTAAGTAGGCTAGGTGCGGGTTGACTCTTCCATTGTTGCGCTTACGTTCACTCATCCCGTTACGCGCAGAATAAGCGTACTACTAGTATAGTCTGTGTAACACATTGAGCGTGAAAACCCCTCATTTTCAGCCTTGTTGCAAGAATATGTTATGGTTATAAAACAAACAAAAAATTAAAAATTCTTCATTTGTTCAGGCAAGGATAGTACCCTTCTTACACTTAACCTGATTGTGTGTTAGTTTTCAACTAAATGTCTTCATTAATGCATTTTTAATTAAATTTTAATCATTTGCTTGTCATTCCATTTAATGTAATCTTTAATCTTTGTTTATGTCATTATGATTAATTGGCTTTTGCAACACAAGTGCTACAGTCTGTCAAAATATGTTCCCACTAGTTTGGTTTTCGTGATCTGTGCCAGGCCCAGTGGTTCTCTAGAATTGCAATCTGCAATTGTTGTTATACTGGGAATAAATTCCACCCTTAACATAAAACTGACTAGGAGGAGTCCAGTGTGAACGGCTCCAAACGGTTTTTTGTCCTAGGATGCTAGGCAAGGCACGAGCCCGGGATTGTTTTTCACATTACTTCAACATTACTTCTAGACCTATACCCAAGAGGGGTTTCGGAATTATCACTTAGATACAATCCATTAGTGATCTGACGATATTTGAATCCAGGACCTCAGGGACCGAGAGCTTAAAACCCTTATCATACAGAAGAAGACTGCTGCTCACAGGCGTAAGATGAGTGCACGAATCTATGTATCGTGTATAGCGGAGTCGGAGATTAGTTGTCCACTTGGTGTTTCTGTGTGTTAGGGTAAAAACTCGAAAACCGTCGCACTAGCGTTAAAATTTTGCACAAATAATTAAGATACCACTGGGAAGATACCATTAAAATTCTAGACGATTCCACTCAGTAGTAATTATAAAAACCCTAAAAATATATTTTTAAATTCGTCCCATAAGAATAACATTAGAAGCTACCTTCTTCTTTTTATTAAAACGTTTTTATTAGCCTGCTTTCTTTTCCGGTACAAATTTTGCAATCAATTTTATACTAACTCCCTGATGAGCTCAATCTAAAGGTGAGTGAGCGTAGCGAACGAACTTCAACCAGGGCGTGATCGAGCCATGCGAACGAGCTCATTTTGAAAATGAACGAACATTTGACATAAAACCACATTAGGACAGGACGACGTCTGTCGGGCCAGCTAGTGTGCAAATAAAATATGTCTATGTCGTATGTCATATTCTTATTAGTTCTAAACACAATGACAATGAACCCCTAATGCAAATCATGGATCAATAGTATATTTCGTATCTAGGGCAGAAAATGAGGTTTTGCGGCTCGAGATAGTTTTACCACTATTCACCACAATTTTAATGCACACTGATAGTCGACACAACTACAACTTTAAGGTTATGTGAAGATATAATTTGAGGAATCAGAGAAAAGCAATAGTTGCTATATAGGCAACGGTGACAATAAAACAATTCTATTGCAATGCTATGTGTACTGATCGTGTATTTAATATGCATTCATGTTTTAAGTAAGTAAGAGGGCAGCTGATTTTGCTGCCCTAGGGATGTAAAAGCCTGCTCGGTCCCCAAATTAAGACGACAGCTGGCATGGCCAGCGAAACGTAACTTTCAGCCACGAACTAACATAGGTAAAACAGCTAAAAAACATCATAGTGTGATGAAAAAGTTATTGCATGTGTTCAAGTTGTTGTTAAGTTAACTTGATGGATTGTTTTTGTTTACTCACAGAATTATGAATAAACCTACTTTCATAACTGGACGTACTAAATGTGTACCTACTTTTATCAGTGAAATCGACATATATTTTTCATAGCTTCAGTTTTTTTTTTATTTTTTTTATGAAAAGTTGTAAAGTAGTTAGATAGTCAAGTAGTTTAAACTGCCATGTTGCTTGAAACGATTAAGTAAATGACTGAACAGTTTGTTTGATTGATTGCCTCGACTAACCAATAGAAACAGTGTGAGCGAAAATTTGTGATAGAGTTAACCTATCTTGTATTAGTGACAATGGGATTTGGACTCTCCCAACACAAATGATTCGTTTGGTTCTAGTTTCATCTTTGATTTTGGTCTTGGTAAATATTTCAGCTATAGATATAGGTTTACTTATTTTTAAATGTTTTTTGCAGAATAAATAATTTCTTGATTGTAGTAGTTTCAAAGTCAAAAGAGATAAACTTTTTGCTGGTAATGAAGCAGCTTGTGGTCAATTTAAAATCATTTCTACTTAATTGCCCGACATTAGCTTTTGTCAGTGATATATTCTTAACTATTCTATTCTATATTCTTAACTTAAGACTCTCCATAATCTCATTAATTAGTAAGATTATGCTCACCTTACCTTACCTCCTTGGCCACTGAAACCTAAGCAGAACTACTTTCTTCTCTTCTAAGCCTCTTTAGGTGTTGTCCAAGTGTTTTAATATTGTTTAGCACTTTTAGCTCTTTATTTCAGCCTCAGACTTTCAAGCAGTTTCCTGCCTTGCTGGAGTACCGTGTGTCTGTCCACATTTTAAATAATGGAAGTAGTATCTTGCCACTATCCATGCCCTGATCATCTCAGCCTTCTAGTTTTTGTCTAAGATACAAAATCTGGATGGTGTATATATCTCTCTCAATTCCCTAGTTCTTTGTTTTTAAAATCATCAGTTTATTCTCACAACATTTGGTTGATGTTCAAATATCTGATTCATGCAGTAGTCTCAGTAGATTCAGGAGTCTCACAATACAGACTGGCTACCTGTGTGCGTAAAAGCATTTTCTCTCCTCTCCCTTAAAAAAAATAAAAAGGTAGTGCTGGGAGAACTATTGAGTGGTATAATGTATTTTAGTTTTTTGACATGACAGAGATATTGACTGGAGAACTTTTAAGGACCAGTAGGTTTCCAAAGCTAAAACAATTGCACTTTGGATTTACTTTTCTTCTTTTCTTTTTTACTGTTGTGTGTGTGATTATTACACCAGGATAGTTTAACTCATCATCATGGTCAGACTCAAAACCATACACTTTTAGGTTCTCTGATATCTTTTTAATTAATTCCTGCTTATCCTCCAACCTTCATGTAATTTGTTTTGTCTTGGTTTGTTTTTGTTTTTAGTCCAAAAACTTGTGTTAGCATTTTTATCAGGACCTTTTTTCAGGGTCCTTGAACCATTTCTGTTCTCTGATTTAAAAGTGCCAAATTGGCAAACACAAGCACATTATTTTTTCAGTAGTTCTAAATGCAAGTTACTTTTATTGCCATTTTTAAGATAGGCATGTAGACAAAATAAAACAGAGTAGATTGCACAAAAGTTATGTTTTATTATTAGTTTTGTCTAGCATTTTTTACTGGTGGTATATCATAATAGAAAGAAACAGTCAGGGTGCTTCAACATGGAAGAGAGTATAGCTACCCCCTGTATCATTTTTAAAATACTTGAATAAGGATATGAATAAAATGATAGAAGTGATAAACCTTTGTTAGAGACAGGGTATATAATAAATATGCAATGAGTACATTAGTATACAGTAGTTAAACATTTTGTTCCTAATTTTTCAGGGTTTCTACGAAGCGAAATGTGAATCGAATGACCTACCGGTACTCAAGAACGATGAGGCCCTTTCCCTCTATAAATCATATCGTAAGTAATCTAAATGTAGACATAATTCTATTATTAAAATATTTCAGTGAATAATTGTCCTATTAACAGTCTTTATCACACGCAGGCTCGTGCGTTTTGGTAATAAAGCCTAGCGGGTAGGATTTTGTTGGCGGCTGGGTGATTCGCCCTTATGGTGAATAATATCAATGGTAGCCAAACAAAACCCAATTTATCGTTTATATAATAACTTGTTCATATAACCATAGACAAAATGAATTTAACATAGACCGTCAGCTGTGCTGTGGTTACCATAGGTTCTGGCACACACCGCTGGGAGCGCCATGTAGTTATGGCGTACGCGCTATGTAACTACATGGCGCTCCCAGCGGTGTGTGCCAGAACCTGTGGTAACCATGGTAACCGCAGCTCAGCTGACAATCTATATTTAATTCTTTCTTTCTGTGATATAACCTTGGGTACATCTAGTCTAGTCTTTCTCTATCTAATTGGTGACATTTTGAAATTTGGTATAAACGTGTAAACCTACATTTTTTCAAACGAGTTTGCGAACCAGCATGATTTATGGGGTTTTATGGGGTTAAAATTGGGTTTTCCCATTTCCCCCCTGAAAACATAAAATTTTGCAATTTCTTATAAAACTAACTATTTAGTATATTTGTAGTATATTTTATTTTGTATATTTTGTAGTATATTGGCGCTGGCGTAGGTTACAGAGAAAATTCAAAAGATTTTAAATTTATAATCCTAATGTTAGTCTTATGGAGCATAAATAAACTGTTGTAGTTTGCTTGTTTATAAACATATTTTGATCAAATTTTAAAAATGCATTTATTTTATACTAAACTACATACTGTATTAATGTATAACAATAAAACACTTTTAAACCCTCCCTGTTGCAGCAAACCTAAGTAATTGTTAAACTAATGCTATATTTAGATACAGAATAATGTTGTGATATTTTTAAGGAGGCATTTTAGTGTAAATCCAATCAAGCCAATGGAAATTGCTTAGTTCCAGCAGGTTTGCTTCGGCGGGGATATTTTTGTAACAGAGGGCTAGGATTACAAATTAAGTGACCGTGTGATTGCATCACAGCTGGAACAGCTTATTGTGCACCCTCATTCATAGGTCCTTATTCTCCATCAAATCCCAGGTCCTTGGTGAACCATGAGATCCTTTTGACTATGGTAACCTGTTCATCCCTTTGTTTTGTAACAAGACTACAAGATCGCGCCACTCATCCTAGACTTATCCTTCACTCATATTTGGGTATATGCACATAATATTTTAAATAATTGATATTATTGATAAAATCTCCAGTCGATAGGCCAAGGGATCTCATTCGCAGACCTTGTAGGGCTGGGCACATAAATATCACGTGGAAGGCTGTCTCCTCCTCCTCTCGACATTTCCTAGATAAGAGGCTTTCATCTTGAATTCTCATCTTGTGTAGATGTCCGCGGAATACCCAATGGCTGCTGATGAAGTCAACCACCTTCCGCAGGGTCTTTCTATTCAGCCCAAGGCGTCTGCCGCTGCACCAGTAGGTGATGTACGCAGCATTCTCTTTGACTGTACGTTGCCTTCTGTTCTTTCCCAGCTCCTTCGATGTTCTATGTCCATCCACTGGCGAACAGCTCTCTGTGTTGTGTTGTAAGCAAAACCACACGTCGGCGCTGGACCCATCAGCAGGCTTTCAGCTCCTTTGTTTGCCCACTTGTCAGCTCTCTCATTGCCAGCAATACCTTTGTGTCCTGGAACCCAACTAAGGATAACCATTGTTCACTCCCAGGGCTTTCTTGGCCTGATGACAGACCCATAATGCCTTATAGGTAAAGTCAAAATTGTCGACTGCCATCAGTGCTACTTTGCTGTCCAAGTTCATGAATATGGTGTGGCCTGTCCTGGCCCTGTTCCTATCCACCCTCGCCATCATGTTCTACAACGCTCACATTGGGGGAATACCTTGTGCCTTGTGTGATAAGACTTTCAGAACAGTGCTTGCTGTCCATGCCCTCCTTGATTGTCACAAGTATATTGATCTAATCACTTACTTATGTGCACGCAGAGCATACAAGAGAAGCAAGTATCCTCTATGTAATCTTTACCTTAATTACTTTTCTGTGAAAGTGATTAAATTTCTCAATGGAAAGGATATTAATGACATATAATCATTGTTGTGTATTGTGGTTTCAGCGGAGAAATGGGTAAAAGTAGCTTCTTACGGGCGAGTCGTTGAAGGGAAAGAATACAAACGTCCTACACGCTGGGCCAGGATCAAGAGGAAAATCAAGCTATTTTTTACTTGGCCTTATCGAGCTTTGGAAGATGGACCTATCCGCGTAGTACATGAATGGTACCAGAGACAAAAACGTAAATACAAGAAAAAGAAGAACTGATTAGTGCCTATAAAAGTGAAAACCAAGGGCATTAAATTGTGTTTAACCAATTAAATGTAGTTAATATTTCAGTCCCTGTCTTTATTGGTTTAATCATTGTTGTGTATTGTGGTTTCAGCGGAGAAATGGGTAAAAGTAGCTTCTTACGGGCGAGTCGTTGAAGGGAAAGAATACAAACGTCCTACACGCTGGGCCAGGATCAAGAGGAAAATCAAGCTATTTTTTACTTGGCCTTTAAGAGCTTTGGGAGATGGACCTATCCGTGTAGTACATGAATGGTACCAGAGACAAAAACGTAAATACAAGAAAAAGAAGAACTGATTAGTGCCTATAAAAGTGAAAACCAAGGGCATTAAATTGTGTTTAACCAATTAAATGTAGTAAATATTTCAGTCCCTGTCTTTATTGGTTTAACAGTATTTTCAGGTTTTTCACTTGGAGCAGGATTATATGTGAAGAGCTTCCATTGATTTCCCAACCAACGTGATGTGATTGTGATGATCCAACTTGGGCTGTAGACCTATGATGTAGCCTCATCACTCTAATTATATCCTTTCTATATATTGCGAGTCCCATGCCTCCCCTGAAGTACACACATTCACTTGGCTGTATTTGAGAGGCAAGAGGGTAAAAGAGACACAAGGCTGCTAAGATGTCAATTAACCTATAATACATATCAAAATAGAAACTTAAGTAAAGAGAAAGTCACGGATGAATGAGTTTCACTAGCAAATTATAGCTTTAAATCCAAGTAATAGCAACCATGGAGCAAACAAAAAGAGTAAAGTTGAATTTAGAAAGGTTGCATTGAAAAAAGTTTAGGAATCTAAGATTGAGTAAAATGTAGGTACAAATTAAATATATGCATGGATTTTATTACAGTTTACACACACTCTTAAAAACTAACTCTCTTCTTGCTCACGGTTTACTCCTGCTTTTTCTTCTCCAGATACATTGACTCGAAGTCTCGTCATTATTCCACTCAATTTAAAATAATTTTCATTGGCAGGTTATCGATAGGGAGTCTATTCTCAGAAGCTATCCCTAGCCAGTCATCGTCTAGCTTACGGTACCTTAGGAAAAGAATTTTGAAATTGATTGATTCTCTTGTTACTTCTCACACCAACTGGTTGACTATGTGTAATTTGAACAGAGTTTCAACACAGCTGACCGTACAGGGTTAATTCCCTTTCAATATAATACACAGGCATAATATTTTCTCTTCATGCTGTCCGGAAAACAGCCGGTTTTACTTCTTTAAATCATCCGCAAAATCATAACAGTTTAAAGGCTAACCGGTAACGTTTTTATAAGGCCGCCATTTTTATCTTTCCCCAAACTATTTTAGTTTAATAAAAAATGTTTGTAGTGAGTGTGGTTTGTTTTTTTCATGAATGAATAACGCAAAGACTTATTTTGAGAAAAAGTAATTTTCTCTACATGCCCATTATTCTTTTTACATGTTTTTTGCCATTAAAAATCTTTAAACTGAAATAACATAAAACAGTATAAACAGTAGCAAAACTATTGTGGTAATATTTTATTTATACAATTTTTTCAAAGATACAAAATTTAAGAAAAATGGTTCGTAAATATGGGGGATATAGCCTGATATTTTGTACTGTGTATCAAACAATATATGTGGTCATTTTAAGATCACTACTAGTTAGCTAAAACAATTAGCCGTTTAAATGAATTGCTGGTGACCTAATAAGCGCAAATATATTGATGTGTCACAGTATCTTAAAAGTTTTCTCCCTTATTTAACGAACTGATTCTATTAAACCAACGCTCTGCCGCAGCATTTAGTACGAACACTTTTTCATAAATTTTCCATTATTGCGGGTGACTGATGATGACCCCGTGATACCGGGAGGTGCTTTCTATTAAGGGTTGGGTGCTGCTAGGGTCAATTTGGCTCGGGGTCACAAGTATCCTAAGTCTGTCACTGCATTGCGAATGCATGATACGGGTAGACTTCCATATCTGTTGGCACAAACAACCGAATGAAAATATTGATCGATATATCGAATGAAACAATTGAATAATCGATATTTACATTCGGTTGTTTGTGCCAACAGTCAACAGATACGGAAGTCTACCCCATGTTACGAAACACTAATGTCACTATAGTATATTTTTCAAGAATGTCAGCAGGCAGGTAAGTGAAAGTGCAGATAAAAGTCAGAAGTCGTCTGATATTGGATAAGATATAAGATTAGATTTATTTGATGCCAACACACCAAAGTGGACAATAACAGCTGTTCTCAGATGTGTGTTCTGTGTACAGATACACAGATTTTGTTGATCAGCTGATTATTTGGCCAGGCCCATTTTTGAAGGATCAAAAGCTAATTAATTTCACACGGCACCATTTTGATCATTTATTAGCCTTCTGATATTCTAGGAAGTTTTTTGTCCTGAGGTTGAAGCAAAGCATTGAGTTTATGTATACAACTACATTATTGAAAGTCTTTAGTTCCCAGAATAATACTTTACGTATGTATTCAGATTGCTTTATCTCATCAAGGTGTTCTAAAATTATTCAATGAACAATTTGCAAGCTCTGAATATTTCAACAGATCTTTAAATAGCATTTATTGCATTTTAATGTGAAATAAGATCATAAGATAAATAAGTAAACCAGAGATAAGGAGTTCTGAGACATTATCAGCCAGAATCTGCTAGTTACATAACTTTGTCATTTGAAATGTCTTTCTTTTCTGTGTCAACTAGCATTACAAAGTGAGTAAATAGTTTTATAACATTACACACAAACTAATTTACTATTTGTCTAGGAAGCTAAGTTTATTTAAAACTAAAAAGTAAATTTCAATACAATATTTAAAAAATTGACTACAAAAAATTATTTTATGGTAACACTATCTGTCAGTAGGGGGAGGGTTAATGGTAGAGGGGTTTATAGAGGGAGGGTTAATGGTAGAGGGGTTTATAGTGGAGGGGTCAGTAGGGGGAGGGTTTATAGTAGAGGGGTCTATAGGGGAGTGTTTATGGTGGAGTAGTCTACGGTTACCTTGAGATAAAACTGAGATTTAAATGTCCACTGAGCTTTGTTGGGTTTCAGACTCCTCAATGTGAGTAAAAAAATCTTTGTAGCAAACATGATTGCTTTTGGAATAGATAAGTTAAAAGTAGTAGTTAATTTCAGTTCATAAACTTAAAGAGTATGCTCATGCTGAAGTTTAACATTTACTTAAAGAAAAATTTATAGTTTAATACCATGAGAAAAATCACACTCCTACTCCTTAAATACATACTTAAAAAAATAATCATATTTTTCATGATTAATGTTAATAAAACTTAAATAATATCATAAAAGTTTATCCTACTTTTTTATTGCATACTTTTATATTACGGAGTTGTTATTATTTCAGCAATATGTAAATATATGAATAATTGTATTTTCCATGATTCTTTATGAATAAACTAGCTGTACCCGCGGGCTTTGCCCCGTTTAACTTCTTAATTTTGAAGATGAGCTCGTTCGCATGGCTCAATCACGTCCTGGTTGAAGTTCGTTCGCTACGCTCACTCACATTTAGGTTGGAGCTCGTTCGCTGCGCTCACTAATTAATTCAAATAATTCAAATTTACAAGGTTTGGTTCCTCATCTAATATATAAAATTCTCGTGTCACAGTGTTTGTCTGCAAACTCCTCCGGAACGACTTCACCGATCGTTATGAAATTTGGTGTGTAAATTCTGTAGGTATGCGAATAGGACGTAAACTATTTCCCGTTTCGAAATTCTTAAAAGGGCTCCGCCCCAGTGGCTCTGGAGTTTCCCATGTTAACCTTATGAGAAATGGAATTAATGAATCTTAACAGCTGTTTCAATTAAACAAGTTGGTTCTGCTCTATGATGTTCAATAGCATTAAAGCAAAAGGTGAGTGAGCGTAGCGAACGAACTTCAACCTGGAGGAGAGTGAGCGTAGCGAACGAGCTAACCTGAAGGCAAGTGAGCGCAGCGAACGAGCTACAACCTAAAGGTGAGTGAGCGTAGCGAACGAGCTCCAACCCAAAGGTGAGTGAGCGTAGCGAACGAACTTCAACCAGGACGTGATTGAGCGATGCGAACGAGATCATCTTGAAAATTAAACGTAACGGTACTTTCTTTCCATCGGTCTGTCTTAGGGGAAACATATAACTTAGGTGATACGAAGTTCGCCGGGTCAGCTAGTAGTACTATATTATAAAAGACATCACAGGACAACCTAAACAAATAACTAACAGAGAAATATAAAAAATTGGCTTAGGGCCCAAAGTCTTAAATAATATACAGTAAAATTATCCGTGGTGGTCCCGGGGGGGGGGGATGGGAGGGATATATCCCCCCCCAATATTTTATATTTTATTAGCTAGAGCATATTTAAGAGCAACAATTTAAATAAATAAATAAAAATACATTTTTAGGCTTTAAATCTATACATTTTTTCAGGGGGGGGGACCACCGGACCCCCTTTTTCTGGGGGATATTACATTCCTCACACCACCTGGGGGTCATCCTCTCCCGAAATGTAATTCTGGGACCTCCACGGAATACGATTGTAATCATTGTAATCTAGTATAATTTTTGTACATTGTTTTGATTATTTAAGAGAAGTATATGTATGTTATGAAGCTTTAAAAGTAAATCATGATGTATAGATAAGTTATTATAATAATAGTATATTACATCACAAGGGCCTAAGTGACTCTTGACCCGAGGTCGAAAAATGAGCGAGGGTTAAAAAGTTAATTTTTTTCAGTGTGATGAACTATATTTTTCGTCTTATTGCATAATTAATTAACATAAACAAAGCTTAAAAACAAAATAATTTTTATGTAAAGATAACCTCTCAAAACAACTTTCAGCTTGTTTTCAATTCTGCTATAATGCACATAACCAGCTGTTTTAGTAAGTGATTCAATTATTTAGTCTATTACGATTGTGTTCTTATACCATCGGTATGTTGAGCAATCGACAACAATAGGCTAAAACCTTACCTAATAAATCAATGGATAAATAATTTTGATCAATACGATTGCCACAGTAAAAATTTACAACTGTTTACAACAGCTGATTTTTACTCCCCTAGAGAGTAAAAATGATACTTTAGACCCGCAACGCATGCATTAAAAACGGCTGTTTCTGCTGCAGTATGACGAAAAATTGTTTGTGGGGGTTTGATGGCCTTTTCTCATACTTTTGAAACAAGTTAACGCTCCCCTCCTCAAGCACCTAACAGAGAAAATGCCCTGTTTGCACTTTTTGTACCAGTAGTCACTAATAATTATTATAATGTAATGTTTTAAACATATTTTTACACCTATAATTTTATTATTTACTTTATTATTTACTATGAAGACACAATAAAAGAGAGGATGAAAATAAATAAATTTAGATGAAATGATTTTCTCTAAAATTAATTTTTCAGAATCCATCAAATCTGGCTGGATTATGTGGCTGGCTCCCATTTTAGTTTTATCACTGTCACTGCAGGTAAGTGAATTTTAATACACTCTCTGACCAAATCTATATGCATTCATAGTCATAAATTTCTAATAGTTCTGCATGGAGATTACAGTTTAGATATGACATAAAGTAGTCTTTAGACATTAAAACATTCCAGAAATCGGATAAATCTTCAATAGGACATTTGTAATCAAAACTATCATTCAATAAGTTGTCAGAGTTAAACAGTTCCCACAAATGTTGCATTTCACTTATGGACACTCTTAAAAACTTTCCAAGATCTGAAAAGTGGAAAAACATGTAAAAAGAAGAAAATAGTACTAGGTGGCGTTCGCAGAGGCACCACTTGCTTCGTCGTGGACCTGTTTTCCTCCCTATAGAATTTTAAGAATGCAGATACCTTAATCTAATCGTCATAAACAGTTTCCATACTCCAGACTGCTCGGGTTTACTGCTTCCTTCACCACTTCCTGCGTCGCTGGCCTCTTTTCCTCCCTTCCCATAGAATTTTAGGAATGCTAATACCTTAATCTAATCGTCATAAACAGTTTCCACACTCCAGACTGCTCGCCTTTACTGCTTCCTTCACCACTTCCTACGTCGCGGACCTGTTTTCCTCCCTTCCCATAGAATTTTAGGAATGCAGATAGTTTAATCTAATCGTCATAAACAGTTTCCATACTCCAGACTGCTCACCTTTACTACTTCCTTCACCACTTCATACGTCACGGACCTCAAGCTAGTGTCGTCATTTGATTATATTTATGATCCATACCGTTTCAGTTCTAATAACTGTGGAATAATGCTATCCGCTATTTCTTTATCTACTGCATTCAAAAGTCAACAGCTAATCATTTTTATGTCTTTGTTTATGTGTCAAATACTGCTTCCATAAGGATTACATTGAAACTTTGAGACCCAGTGGGGCGGATTCCTGAGAGACTTTTTTAACGCCATATAGATGTTGGCACTCACCAATATGGTCTTTTTCACCATGCAAAATTTGAAAACGATTGATTCAGTCGTCTAGGAGGAGTTTGCGTATTACGAAATGCACAAGAGTCGACGTATAAGAGCTTCGCTCGCTCCGCTCAAAAAAGTTGTATGTACGGTGTACATACAATTCTGTAGTTCAAATACATTTACATGTGATTTTAACGGCTACATTTATTAGTTTTATAACTTTATGAAAGATTCTCTTGTTTTTTATATGTTTTTAACATGTAATTTTTTCCACAAATAATATATTTGTGACTACATTTTGTAATGTCTAATCTTTTATATGTTATTCAGGCTTCGGTTGGGTTACTTGAGGGAAAAGGGAGAATTCATCCTAGAAATAACACCTCAACAACAGGTAAGTATTCGGTTTTAATAAAATAAAAAAATGCACTTAGTTGCCTATCGGCGAATTACTCTGGCAATGAAGAAGACAAATTCAGTACCAGCCGTTCTTACGTATCAGCATAAACGATGTGCCGAATGTGGTTAACATTGTTTGGGTTTAACTATCAATCTTATACGGTACATTGCTTTTATATAAAAAAGAGGTCAGCTCTACCAATGCGTGTAATATTTTTACGGGGGTTGGTAAGATCTTAGAGGGTGGTTGACACCTGATCTCTGGCATGGAGGGAGGTATCTTGGAATTAGTGATTAGAATGTTGCGTCACCCTTACATTTTGGCATATTCAGGGTGTCGCCTAAGTTCTTAATTTTAGATATAATTTTAAGGGGTGGTGGCACCTGCTTTCTCCTGTTACTTTATGATAAATAAAGTTTTGGTGGAATTGACTGTACTATTGGATTGGAAAATTAGGTTTAAACGTGTAAACCTAAATAGTGATACATGATACATCGGTAATACTATTCTAGCAAAAAACAATTCACAGTGAGTAGTCTAAAGCTCCTGGTGGTTAATCCTCCCTTAGTTGAACTTTAGTAGCCGTCACATATGAATAACCAAACTAGTTGATTATATATGGATAGGTTTGATACATTTTATTTCTAAACTATAAGGTATATTCACAATGTTTTTTTTAATGATTATGTATCAGATGGAGATGAAGTTTTTACTTTCTTTAAATTTAACTGTCGTCAGCAAAGCCACAGCGCTTTAAAAAGTTAATATTTCATCTGATGCAAAATAATTTTTAAAAACCATTACGGAAATACAATTAACGGATATTTACAGATATATTAACAAATGGTATTTTCGCTTCTGCGGACATAAAACTGAAAAATTAAAACTGTCCAGGGCTTATGTTTTACTGTGCTATCTACGGTAATAGCGTATCCTAAGTTATGGAAGATTTGCTTAAATTTATTTGTAGCATTTTGTTGAGATAACTACAGTACACCAACGATATCCAGACAGTAGATTAAAATAAAAAAAAAACAGTAGTAGAGCTCTAATATGTTTATTTCTAACCATTTTAGCACGGCGGATTCAGATTGGACTGACGAATTTGCTTGAAACGCATAAATAAAAAAGGGATCTTCAATTTCCCATTATCCCTGAGAGCTACCACCCTGGCTCGCAGTCGTGGCTTACGACTAGGATTAAAATCTTATCGACCCCTCACTAATTGTTGTGGCTTTCGTTTCACAGCTTAGGGCCATAACAATGTGTGGCTTTCAAGACGCAGCCGCCACTAGGCAATCTTATATACCGGTGTCCTTGACCGTGGCCAGGATCCTTTGCTCAATTTTATTATTTGGGTCATCACCTGGCTGCTTTTGACCAAAGAGGGCACTTCTCAAGACTGTGACGATACAGAATGATGTACTTTTTGGGAATGATTTCTGTCCCTTATGTCCGTGTTTATGCCCATGTTAATTCGGGGTGGGGGGGGGCGTCAACCTGACATTTACCTAATCAAAGGTGTTGAAGTACATCAAGTGTATTTTTTTAAGAATTAAAGTCAAAATGGCGTTACCAAGCGCTTTAAAGATAATCTTGTAAACTATTGGGTAAACAATAGCTGCACATTTATCAGTAGTTACTTTAATGTATCAAGAGTTCTGATTTGACATTCTAATTTGTATAATAATGTATAATTACAAAGATACAACTTATAATGAAGAGCAAATGAAGGAAAATAATAAATTATTTATAAATTAAACAACATCAAGTCTTGAATTTGTGATAAAATTCTAGTTCTCATTGGTACTGTACATTATGAAACTTAATTTATCTATAAATGAACGTTCGAGACTCGTAATGGTCAAATAATTTTATCTCATTTTTTTTTCAAAATTAGTTTTTATGAACTATTTAATCAATTTACTCAACTGATAATTATGCTTTTCATACTAAATCTTTATTATTTTGTGTTTTTTTATGTTTGGGCCCAATAGGATGGTTGGCCCTTCCGCAAAAATTGGTTGGTTATGGCCAACCGTAAGACTTAGTGCCAAAACATACCGTTGGCCAAGGATTGACAGAAACGTTGGGCCAACGATTTGCCAATGATTTTTGCTACTTGGGACTGATTGTAATAAATTACAAAACCACCCCATCTTGTTCAGGGTGGCGCAGAGAAACGGGAAATTTTGAAGTCGTTGTTGGTACACCTGTATGATGTCTTGTAGGAATGAGAAACTGAAGTCAATGACGCCAAGTAGTAATGGACATTTAGTTGAGATGGGGCAGTGGAGTGGTGCGGAGCGTGCAGTTGCCGTGAGAGCGTACTACAAAAATGCTGACAGTGCAATAGCTGCAAATGTTTGGATGTCTGTCTCTGTAATTGAGCGAAGCTCACTTTCCCTCACTTTGTAACTTCTTTGTAAGAGCATCAGAATGTAATGGCTTGACCAATTGATATGAAATTTTGCCAACAGCTAAGTAATACTGAGCACAATGTTTTGGTAAAAAATATTTGCAAATTTCCTTCTGGATTTTATTTTACGGGTCACGCAATTTCGCTTGTTATTTTAATGTAAGTTGAAAGAAAAATTATATTGGGTTTATGACATATGGGTTTATCTCGTTTCATTTAAATAAGATAAACATATGTTAATTGTTTGTAACTGTTTTGTTTACATTTCAATGTTTACTTTCATCCTAGGTTAAAGTTGGAATGTACCAGTTTATCAATGGAAGTAACAGTTTTGCTATATTTGTTTTGAGCATGCCTCAAAGGCCATGTCATCGTAATATTGGCCGTCGCACCAATAATGCAAATATTTTAAGAGAGTGGCGTCGTGAACAAGAAGAACCAGATGAAGCAGTGGCGGAAGAAGCTGATAAGGCAGTTAGCTAATCAATTCCAACACGAATTAGATGCGCTAAAATTTTACACTTGCACTAACTGTCATCGCCAACAACTAACAGCTTCAAACCAAGTTGTTCAAACCAATCACGGATTTGTTCGCCTTGTTGTTCAAATGCAACTAAATTCATGGCGTTAAATAATATAGATGTGTCAAGTGCAAGTATCCCGAACAAATAACGAACGATTGTAGAACAAAATGTTGATTGCATGAGTACATCCCGCTATGCGCATTTACAAAGTGCAAGCAAATGGTCAGGATGACCAGTTTCACTACAAAGGTAACATCATTAATGTTGAGCAAGATGTTAATGAAATAGCATCTGTCTTACCTACACTGCCCGAAAACTTAAAAGTCATCATTGTCCAACGTCAAGGCGTCTTTGGCCATATCGATTGTTGTGGACATTGGATCTTCAGAATATGGCTTAGGTTTGTCCTACGTAGGCCTATCAAGAGTTAAGACATTTGAAGGCCTGCTTCTGGATCCACCATTTTCACTAGACCGATTGATGTCAATTAACAGACACGGATCTTGGGCAAAGAAGAAAGAAGCTCTTGACCGTTTAAACGAAATGTCAAATACATATGTCTAATAACCTTTTATCAATTCTTATTCTTAAATGAACTATCAGACAAATTTGTCATTCTTTTAGAATTTAAATAATATTGGGCAAACAAACGGTGAATCTGTTGAAAGGGAACATATTGTAGGTTGTTAGCTGCTTTAGCCATTGACAGTCTTTAAATAATGCTTCGCTCATTTATGTGTCTAAAAAGTGTAACGGTAGACCTCCCTAGTTTAAATGGACATGTCAATCAGCAGAACATGCATTACTGGGCTCAACGAAATCCCACAGAACTTCATCAACGTCTGTTACACAGTTCCAAAGTTACTGTATGGTGTGCAGTGTCTTGTCTTGGTGTTATTGGACCTTACTTTTTTGAGGATGAAGATGGTTCCACGCTGTAACTGTCACATCTCAACGTTACATTCATATGCTGGAGATATTTTTTGCTCCACAGCTTCATGCTTTTCCAGATATTGAAATCCAGCAAACCTGGTTTCAACTAGACGGAGCCACCTCACACACTGCCAATCTGTCAATGGCTGCATGGAGACGTTTTATTTGGGGAGGGCATTATTTCAAGGAACGCTAATGTCATTTAGCCTCCACGGTCTCCAGACCTCTCAGTGTGCGACTTCTTTGTATGGGGACATCTAAAGAGCGTCATGTACCTGACTAGGCCAAGAAATCTTATTGAGCTCAAGACTCAGATCGAAGAACACGTCGCCAACATCCCAGAGGACACATTGCTAAGTCTTCAAAATCGATCGAACGAATAGGCCCAAAAGACAGCACTTAACCAATGTGATTTTTAACATTATTCCTATTTCCATCATTTCTTATGTATTTTCCACACTTGACCAACACTTTTTCACCATTAAAGAATTTTTTGTACAATTTTCTTGGTTTATTATGATTATTTCAAAATTTCCCATTTCGCTGCGCAACCCTGTATTACCAGCTATAGTAAAAAACAAAAACATATTGTTTTATAGTAAAAAAGATAGGGGAAAAATGTCAATCAAGCACTTGACAGATTTTCATGGTTCTTTCTTTGAAGGGAAAATTGCTTTGTTAGGAAGGAAATGTCGAAGCCACAATTATAATTTTTAGTTTCAGTTTTTTTGGAACTTTATGTTATTTTTATAAAGTCTAGCAGCCAAAGCTTGCATTTTAAACTAGCTTCAGCTTGTCAATTTTAAATGTTGGTAGGTATTCATTATTCTATCTCATTTTAATATGTCCATAAATTTACCAATCTTAAAAAAAATTATAAAAATGTACACATTTTTTATCAAACGATTTGTAACAACTGAAGTTCACACTGCATAACACGTGAACATTTTCGTCACACCATCAATTACTCAGACAGCCAACAACATATGTATGTATTCCAATTATTGGTACTAGCTGAACATAATTTGCAGACTAGAGACATAGAATAAATTCAACACTATTTTTTCAAATAAGAATAATAAATTTTTCAAAGGATAGAACCATGCAGGTTTAAGAGCTTTTGTCAACCAAACCCTATAAACCAGTTTGAAAATAATATTTTATTGGATGAAAATTTTAAATGAGTTTACAGCAACTAGGTTGATCATATAGTAGACTCCCTCTAACCGGACGCCTTTTAACCGGACATTGGTTTAACCGGACTACACTCGGCGGTAATGACATCTCTTTAACCGGACAATTTTTATCAGCACATTGGTTTAACCTTAACCGGACTAGATCGGCAGGAAGTGGGCAGTACTGAAAAAACTGTTCTGGTGGGAAAGATTTGAGACCAGTGATCACGTGTCTAAATACAATGCTCACCTAAATTTAAGTCAAACATCACAGTAAACAGTCCGTTTTAACGAGTTTTTGGGGAAGTCGGTTTAATTGGAAAACCCGTTATCCGGACTTGCCTCGGTCCCGAGGAGTCCGGATAAGAGGGACTCTACTGTACTTTACACCCAGATAGTGTTTTACTCCTGTATAACTACTGTTGGCTTGTTGTATTGTAAAGCCACCTCATATCCTTAGCCACAAAAGTTCCTAAGTCCTTTTGGACACAAACAACCCAAACCTGACTGTCCTGGGGGGGAAACAGCTCTTAAGAGGAATCTTATGTCAAGCAAAATTAAAGCTAACACAAAAGAGCACAGTACATAACATCCAACAACAAAATGTACACATACCGTATTGAAAATAATCCAATGCTGTATAATTTTCTAATTATGTATTTTGAACACAACTCAATGGCCTGGCTCAATGGTTTGGGCATGTTCATTGAAGTGTCTTGTCTTCTAATTAAAATTACGGTGAATGGCTGATGCCTCGTCAATATTGTGATTAAAAGTTATCGTATTATTAAAATTCACATAGTTATACTTTTTCAATAGATTGTTAGTTTATACAATACGCAAAATCTCTAAATTTATTTGATTTAAACAAATTAAAATGAAGTATCTGAAGAAAAGGATACTCAGCATAGTGACTAAGTGAGGCCTATTGATTGGTCTGACAGAATAGATACTGTTTTTATTTTCCTTAAATATATCATAACAACAATACCAACGGTAGTAGATATTTTGGTCCTGTTTTGCACTGTGTCACACACCTTTTTAGAAGTTGTTTTTTTTTTTAATAAACAGTACAAACCCTGATCTTGTTATATTTGGTTGATAATATTTAGGCGATTTGAGGGGAAAATCCCCCACCACTTTTACTTGTACTTTGTGTATGTTGCTTAATCAGCTTTTGAGCTATATTATTTTAAATAAGATAGAGTGGAGGGGGTAGATTTCTTCCCCAAAAACCGCCTAAATACTGTGAACGAAGTATCAAACATTGTAATAAGTTGCAATTTAATAATAGTTACAATAAATGAAAAAGTACTTTGCTACAAGACTTTATATTGTTTTTCTAAATAAAAACCTAAAATATTCCCAAATGTATTATAAATGTTCAGAAATAATAACTTTTATTTTACATGTTTCAGTGTACCCTTCAAAACGGAAGGAAGCCAAGCAGCCCGCAACGCCATTTGACTTTCCGTCACAAGATGAGATTGAAAGGCTGATTAGAGAAGAAGGATTTTTCATGGCAGTTCTAACAAAGCTTATAGAACTTTTCTACGGAATGTTGACGGCTCCGTTCCGTTGGGTGTTCCGTGTATTTGAGCTGATTGTAACCATTCTGAAACTGGCGGCAGAAAGCTTCCGACAACTGAAACACCCGCCCAATAAGAGAAGTTGATGAAGTTAGACAAAGACAAGAAAAAATCTAAGGGAATAATAATCACCGTTGAAACACCACATATAGAAACTGAAAATATCAAAATAATCACTTTTGAAAAACCTTCGAAGAGTTCAACTATAAAATTTACCTTATAACATTTTTGCTGTCAACAAAATTTACCTCTTTAAGTACAAATATATACCTCAATGTTTTTCTACTTGTGTTTCTACTGTTTTATTTCGTTCCTGATGAGATTTTTTTATTTGAAATCTGCAATAGTAAAAGTAAAACCATCCTATGGATGTGAATCCGTCGAGAGTTGCACCATAGATAAAAGGAGTATAGACACTCCTTTTATCTATGGTTGCACATAAGCAATTTTTACTCTTTTTTTCTCAGTGGCGATTTTATCTACGTCAATGTTTACAAAAATGTAGATTTCCAACTTTTGAAGCACTTAAATACCTGACTTTGCCTTTTATGGGAATTTTTTTAGGTACCTACAACAATTTGTATCAACTAATACATGTTTGATAATAATCAATCTTTCAGTTATAGCATTGAAATTGTGCTCACTTAAACCTTTGACTATTGATACAATAGACTTCAGTGTATCCAATAGTCAATGCTTAAACCAAAGTAAAATGAGAACTTAAAACTTCATGCTCATTCATGCTGGTTGAATAGACTGAATGCTTCCCCTTTCCTCAGATGTAATCAAATATTGTAATTTATAATAGCTCTTTGGGAACTAACACTAGTCTCATAGTAAAAAACGTTCAATTTAAAAACCAATAAGTTTATGACCATATGAATTCATCAGGCTTTAAAGCCCCCCTCCCCCCCCCCAAATTGGACCCTGAAAAAATAAATTTACACATACATTTTGTCCTGAATACCTAAAGAGGTTTTTAAATGCTGTTCTAGTCGTTAAAATGGCTTTATAAAGTCACCAAACGGCTTTAAAAATACTAAATCCTCCAGGAGAGCACAACTGAACTGCTCTCATTTATTGGGGAGTTTGGTTTGGGACCCCCCCCCCGGTAGCTCCCCCCCTTGACTAGGTCCTAACCACCACTGCTGACACTTGGTAGTAAACACATTAATTAAATCTGTATAACCCCATTGTATTCTACAAAATTGCAATTGAAGCCTTATTTAGTTTGCACACAGTCTGTAGGGGCATACCTACTTATATTGAAGGTATAATAGCGGCTACCATCGTAAAAAATATATATTTGACATACCAGTAAATCAAAGAACACTTTTGATACAATTTCTTTAATTGCAAAAACTACACTTTAATGGGTAATTTTCCCAAAATTTGGTTTTGACATAGTAGGTTTATAATTTTCCAATAATCCCATCACAACAGCCATGGTGGTGTAGTAGATGTTTTCATGGAGTTTCCACACTAAGGAGTTTTTATGGGTGAACACTTCCTCACAAACGTCGCCTTCCCAACGTGGGAGCATGTGAAGGAACACCCAGCCGTTCTTGGCTGTCTCTGTCATCTTCAGTTCTATTCTGACTGTTTCCCTCCGATGTTTGGCTGTTGCGATGACATCGGCGCCTCTGATTGTCTCTGCAGGGTCCCTCAACTCCTGAATGCTTGTGTTGTGAGTCTCGCAGATCGAGAGACTTCTCTGTTTCACGATAGGAGAGCCAGGATGATCGGGACGCGGAGAACAGTTGTATCGCAGATGGACACCTACCTTGAATTGAATTAACTTTATTTCACTTTAGTAAAATTTCAATTTGTACGTTATGGATCGTATTAGTGGTGAGTGGGTCACACATATTATGACCCTTCACCACCAGCACTTTTGATATTTTTGTAATTAAAAAAATCTGTTCTCATTACATATATAGTTAAAGCAGAAGGAGAGTGGTAGGGGAAGTTTCCTGTGTCTCATACTACCATTCTGATATACCATAGTAATTGACACAATTATTTCATCATCAATTAAGATGGGGACGTAACTGGGAGTATTAAACCCAAAAATGAATTAAGGTGTCTCAAATGGTGTGAGATACTTCTTGTAGCTCTATTAGTTACTAAGACCAGCTGGTTTACCGTTTACACGATACCAGTAGGGGAGACAATTGTCAGAAGACAGCTGGCTGGCATGAAATTATTGGCTTTGTGTATACACTTCAGGTCAATTGCCTTGCCAACTGCCCTCACAATTGATACCAAAAGATGTCTATTGGTATGACTCTTTGTTGTTAAGCCTTTCCCCTCCCTTAACTACATAACTACAAAAATATGTATGATAAAAAAGATACCTTCGGTAGCAGGTAGAGGAGAGTATTCAGATGGTTGCCCAGGGGGCCGAGCCACGCTACAGTCAGGCCATCCAGGTGCCCGAAGTGTTCCTGTAGAGTCGCCAAGAGGCCGAGACCATGCAGAGGTGTGAACATGTGACTACTGATGTTGACCACTGGTGTAGCATTCGCTCCATCCACTAACTCACATACTCGTTTGTGGTTGCGACTCTGCACTAGGATCAGGTCGGAGTAGAGCGAGTGGAACCTACCCACGTCCCTTCTGTACCTGTGGTAGGTTCAATTAGGAATACTTTTTATGCTAAATTGTCTGTCGCTTTTATTTTTCAACAATTTACACTCTTAAATTTGTCATGCCGATTTAAGTAAGCGACTCATCTTTAGTAAACTTTAAACAAAATATTAATATTTTTTTTTAAGTAATCTGATATATAAATTGAGTTCTTGAGTTTGGCATAGCAAAAAGAATTTATGATTATTAATCTTGTGGACCAATGTTTGTACCAGAATTTACTTGTCAGGTGATCAGTAAAATTCCTTATGGCATTCAAATGGTTCATGATAGGAAGGCTAAATTTTGCTTGTTAGAAACTTTTAACACCCTTTAATTTTCTTTCATTAAATCATCAATTGCCTTTGGTCTTATTTTTGGCAGTACATTTAAACTTAATTTGAATGAACTTAATTTTAAATCAACTTTCATTCTTCAATTGTTATCACAACTGCATGTCATTTTCATTGAACATGTTTTTCATCTTTTCATTTTAATGTTTGCATGTATCACTGATATATCTGTACAACATTATCAGCATGTAATAAGCATCTTGTCTTGTCGCATGTATCACAATGTAAAACAATTGTAAAAAATGGTGTTTGCCGTAAAAAAAAATTAAAAATAAAATAAAAAATGTATACATTTCAAAAGTATTATTTAAATTATGTTAAACTCAAAGTGGGATGTATCTGATGCTTTTCATTGGGAATCAAACAAAGGTTCTTTGGGTCTATAGCCTTGTTTTACAATTTTACAAAACATATTAAAAAATGCTAATGTTGTTTTAAGACTCAATGACAACAACAATGATTTTACACAACACAAAAATGACATTAATGTCCATCATCTAGAATTTTCCAATAAAAACCATCTTGTGTAGGGAGGTGTTTTCCTGTTAAACTCCCTGCCAATGTGAGAAACATTGATAACCTAGACAAAATTAAAGTTAAGGTCAAACAATTGGGTAATAAATACCTAAAGTTAAGGTCAAACAATTGGGTAATAAATACCTAAGTCATAATATAATTTTGATAATTTTAAGCTACAGTAGTGTAATTGTAATGACACTATTTGTCATGTTTACAAGTACAACATACAAATAAAGTTATTTCCAAACCAGTACCTTGAGAGCTCCCACCTAGGCGCAACCATGAGCCGTAAGTCTGCCCCGAGATTCTTCAACGCAGACTGGACGACAAAGTTGATACAACCACACTGTCGCTGACACAACAACGTCACTCGCCGATTCACTAGAGGCTTTCCCAAAGTTTGACTGTGCGCTTTTAGGTCTAAACTTGCCCATAAGATCCGATGGATGTCGTCAGTACAAAGATCAGTGGTGTCGATGAACTTCAAACCACAAGATGAAAATTGTCTTAAGTGTATATAGCGTATCATAATGTTTTTTTATAATTCTGCATTTGTTTGACTATTATAGTGGGAGTGATCATTCAAAATGATCCCAAGTGAGAGTTTTGATTCTATGACCTGTAATGTTGGTTATCATTTTAAAAATAACGATTGAGTGGGCTAAAGTCTATTGTCATACGACTGTTCCTACTTAAAAAAAAAGGTTTAATACATTATCCTAATAAATAAGTAATAACCAAAAAAAGATCAAAACAAAGAAAATAGCTGACTTCTCAACACATCTCAACAGCTGTTTGTTTTAAATAGAATATTATTTAGCCTACTACAATCTACAACTTTAGGAAAGAATTTAAAAAAATACTACATGTAAAATAAGGTGTTACATATTATCATTGACTTTATATCTACACTTGTAGATATAAAGTCAAAGATATTATTGTAACTGGAAGACTATAGTTATTCTAACAGGAAATTTATTCAGTAAAGAGGGGAAAAAGATAGAACATTGGTAATCGTCAATTCACATTTATTCTTGGAAAGCAAATAACACAAGTTCCACTATTAGTAGTCCCAAGAATTTTAAGTGGATTTAAGAAATATTTAAATTTGAGTAAATATCATATTAACAGTTACTCGCCAACACAACGTCAAGTTATATTTCACAAGCCGTTAGGGTAAATGAGAGTCTTGATGTCTCGCAAGCTACTTCCAAGCACTTCAGCAGCTTCTTCGGCCACTCTGGCAAACGTACGACTTACGACACTGGTCGGATATTTGTCTTGATTCTCTTGCAAGTCCTTCAGCAGAGCATACGACAGTTTGCTCACCTTTTCAACTTTCTCTGTAAAACATAGTAAATCTATATCAATAATTAGAATTGATTTTTTTCACATTAAGATAAATACTAGATTGTATTTCAACTTGTCAAGAAGACATGGCCTTGTACCATTCTGCCACTGAATACTGATTGATATTGGATAGCACACTCCTTCTCATCTGTTTTTATTTTTGCTAAAATACTCTAGGTGAAATTGTTATAAAAAGTGTGTTATGTTTATTGGGGTTTTATTATGTTATGTTTTGGGGTTTATTCGGGACAAAGATTCCTATATTGTTGTGTTAAATAATTGTTAATAGTTTTGTTGATTCTTTCAAGTTTCAAAACAGTGGACATTGGACTACATTCAATTGGTAGATTTTAATGGTTCATGCAAGGCAACACTAAATAAATTGTGTTTAAATAATGTTTATTTAGTGTTGCCTTGGTTCATGCTGTCCTTGATTATAAGCTTATAATAAACGGGCCTTGGTCAGAGTCACAGCTAATCTTAGTCTGTAACAAAACAAATAATTATCAACTCCACTACATACGCCATTTTTGCCTTGCACTCTTATTTAACCTATCCACACAAGGTGTATAGTCAATGATGAAATTAAATTAAATACCCCCGCCGTTATTTAAATTATACAGTAATTTAAATTTACAGTATTCCCAATTTAAATAACATTATATTTAACGAGTGCTTAGGTTTGCTGCTACGGGGAAGGTAAAAAGCATTTTTGACAAAACGTCAATAGTATGGGATGAAATAAATTAATTTGCCAAATTTTGTCAACATTTATCTATAAACAAGTCAACTACAAGAGTATTAATTTTCTCCATAAAAATAACATGGGAATTTTAAATTACACTTTTTTATTTTCTCCCTAACCGTTAGGCATACAACAGCGCTTCAATATACTAAGTTATTTCTTTTTTTTAACTCTACAAAATTGTTTAGAAAGAACTTGCGAAATTTCATGTTTTTAGACAATATGGCTAATTCTATATATTAACCCTTTGCGGACGGGTGACGGATATATCCGCTTATGGTTTTTGATGTTCCAGACGGGAAGCGGAGCCTTCTCTTCAGACAGACTGGCAGGTGCTTGAGCAATAACCAGATTTTTCGCGGTACCAAGGTGCAACTTTCCTGCTCTCTCCATGACTACGCTCTCTCCCGCACTCCCCCCTCTCTCGCGCGCCAACCCCTCTTCTGCGTCAGCCCCCCCCCTCCCGCGCACCTACCACCATTCCTAGGCTCCTCTCTCAACGTTTCACGCTCAACATTACGTTGTCTTTATTTATTGTTTACATATTGTTCTTTATTTATTGCCTAACGTTGTCATGGTCATATCTTCAAAGATAGGTGGCGGATATATCCACTGCATTTCTACTCATTTGCGGACAGGTAGCGTATATATCCGCATAGTTAAAAACAAGTAAAAAATTATTTTGACAGTATGAAGTGTTCCATTGTGTTTATTTTATGTATACTTGTATAACAAAACACAAATAAGGAAAATTTTTTTTCCTATAATTTTTTCCCGTCATATGTCACGATTTAAGCCCCCCATACACTATCCAACATGTTGGACGGACATGTCGGGATCCGACGTCTTGTCGAACATATTGGACAGTGTGTGGGTTCCGACCCGACATGCTCGACGGATATGTCAGGTCGGATGCTCGGTCCGATAGCACCACCCGACTCGAGCCGTCCGCCTGACATGTTGGACCGCGTGTGGGAAACCGTAGGCTACTAGCCACAGTTTCCAGTTAACTTGTATTTAGCGAGTTGTGCGTGATAACCGTCCCATTTTTCCATAATGTCATTTAATAATAATAAACAGGTCTGGTCAGAATTTATTTAACTCTACAGAGACCAGAAGGCGTTGTGGGATGTCAAAAGTAAACTCTATTGCAACAAACATGCGCGTAGGGGCACGATATCCTGATGGAAAAGTGCAAGGAACTGTATCCAGAGTGTGATTTAAAGTTCGTTAAAAAATAGGCTCTACAAATCCCTGAAATCATCGCTAAAAATCCCCCTCTAACAGCTAACAGTCGTCTCAAAATCCATCTCGGAACTAATATTTCACCTGACTTGTTGGGTGACATGCTCGATAGTGTGTGGGAAACACCCGACATAAGTCAGGTTGGATGATGGGTTCGTCGTCAGGTCAGGTTGTCAGGTCGGGTGGCATGTTCGATAGTGTATGGGGGGCTTTAGCCCGTTCGGGAAGGGTTAATAGACAAGCATGTTTATTGAAAACCTTTTTTCTCAGCTCCTTTGCATTGCAGGGAAAATCTACGCATACTGTTAGAAAGATATTTGCCTGTAGATGTGTATAATCCCTTATAAGTGTCTAAGGAACATGTTGGCCTAAGTCACTAACAAGACTACAAGATTGAGCCACTCATCCTACACCCATCTCCATTCATACTTGGCTTAAAATAACTACTTTGTATGGAACCATTTCAATGAAAAGTATTAAAGTATTAAATTATTAGATTAGGCTCAAAAATAAATGAGCACAAAAAATTGATTTTAAATTTAAAAGAACTAGTGTACCTGTTGCTCGAATTCGAGCAATTGCGAAGCATTACAGGCGACTCAAGGATTATGGAAATACTCATGATCTACACAACAGTTAGATATAATCAAAATCTTTTGTAAATATCTTATCTTTTTTCAAAAAGCTGATCTTGTTTTTTTAGTGTTTTTAGTGTAAAAAAAAACATTATTTCTATTTCTTCTACTTGGTTGTGTTCTATGACTTTTTCTATGTTTCCATTGTTTGCAAACCGGTTATTTCAATGATTGCTCAAGAAATGTAGCACAGTGTTAAATCAGTTTTATTTTTAGCCTATATCAAATTGTCCAGGATTTCTCGCTCTTTTCCATTGTAATAATTACACCAACCCAAGTTTCGTCTACAGATGCAATCCAAGAAGTGGTAAAAAAGTCAGAAACCAACCCATACAATAGATATAAGTTAACTCCATAAGAAATAATTTCAAAAGTTACTGTGATATTAGGATTTTCCACTGATTTGGTAATAGAACATTATATTGCAAAACATGACACGATGCAGAAGAAAATCAATTTTAAAATCAGAAAAATTCATTGCAAATACTGTACTTCATTTTGATAAATTCAATAAATCACAATTTAAATATTAACAGCTGTTGCATTAAAAAGTAGTGTAGAATTATGCATATGGTCGTAATGTAAACAAATCTGAAGAGGCAACTTTAAAGGCTTCTGGGGCAGAGCCCCAAGGGAATTTACCTCTTTCCTCTTTTGATGGCTCATCTACAGACCAAGACCTTTCTTTAGAGACCCCTACCAAGTTTCTACGCCCAGCCGTTCTCTCAAATTAGCTGTGACAAAACCCCCGTTTTCCTCCATAAGAATAACATGGGATGGGAATTTAAAGGCCACGGGGGCAGAGCTCCAAGGGAATTCACCATGTTTTTCTTTTGATGGCTCATCTACAGACCAAGACCTTTCTTTAGACACCTCTACCGAGTTTCTACGCCCAGCCGTTCTCTCAAAATAGCTGTGACAAAGAAAACCAGTTTCAAATTAATATATAGATTAACATGGGCCTTATGGGTTGCCATGTTGATAACGAAATAACAACAAAATATAAACAGAAAATCTAAACAAATGGAAGAAATTCCAATCAGGGCTCACATGTTTTATTTACAGCGTCGGGTGAACTTGAGAAGTTTGCACAATACATAATTTTGGTAGAGTTTTCGACGACAGGGGGCTCCGGAGCTCTAGTTAGTAATTAATAAAAATATTCTCAGAAAGTTTAAAAATACAATAAAAAAGAGTGACGTTAGTAACAAAACAATTCTTCAACTGAATAATCACAAAGTAGTTTCAAATGTTCCCTAAGTAGTTTTTTTATATCCATCTTTTCTGCCTCTTTGATTTGGTTTGGGAGGTGGTTGAATATAGTTTCCTACCCATACGAAGGAGCTTTCTCATAAATAACAGTTCTATGGATAGGGAACTGAAGAGTGTTTCTATGTCGAGTGTTATATGGACGTTGATGATTTTTTTATGAGAATGAGGTCAAGTGTATTTTAACAAATATACATAGTCGGTATATACACAGCATGAATTGTTAATACTTTCAACTGTACAAAAGAGGACCACAAGAAGTACGAGGTGCCGTGTCAGTTAAATCTCGTATGGCCTTTTTTTGAAGAATAAAAAAACCATCTATGATCTGAGAGCTGCCCCAAGAAATTATGCCATAGCAAGCCATGGACATAAATTTGAATTCGGTAACTGTTAAAGCAGCATTTAGTCCCGTTTCCTGTTGTTTTGAAGATGACCATTAATCCAAAAAAAAGCTTTGGCTAACAATTTAGTTACCACATTATATTATTGATCACACGTCGCACATTATGCCACATTATATTTATTGATGTTTATGTCCATTTTAAATGTTCCTTCATATACAAACACAGAAATTTAGAGTCTTAAGAAGCATTGATTTGTTCCTCAGAATCTAGGTTACCTTTTCTGCATTTAACTGTGGATTGGGAAAATGAATTAAGTGTGTTTTTGAACAGTTGAGATTATGAAGACCATTTTGTTTGAACAACAGTTCCATTTCTTCAAATTTTCTGATGCTTTGATAGTCACTAGTGCAACAGGGGCTTTGACTAACTTTGACTGATTCTGAAATCCAATGTGGCTAATAGATCATTTAATTATGTAGAGAGTAAAAAGAAGAGGACCAACCTTAGACCCTTGAGGAACGCCATGTAAAGAACCAGACACCAGTTTGAGAAATGTTTAATGTTACATTTACCTCTAATGATAACTCATTGGTAATATCTTTGAAGATAGCATTTGAACCAGGCAAAGAAGAACTGACAATTCCATATATAGTTTAAGTTTTTCCAGAAGAATAATATCATATGTTTCACACAGTCAAACATCTATGCCTTTGTGAATTTGTGCCTTGGACAGATCACAGAAGACACCAATT